ATTTAAAAAAAAAAAAAAAAAAAAAAAAAAAAAAAAAAAGAAGAAGAACAAAAGCCTCAAGAGACGCTCACTAGGTGTCCCCGGTAAGCACTTTGTATCTTGATGGCAGCCAAGTTGGGGTCCAACTTTCTGAAAAGTTGGCAAGACTCCGAAGCACCTGTGAGCCGCACAACCTCGGCTGCTGCCTGTGCAGCGGCAACGGCAGCCTCAGCCGCGGCGGCTGTTGCCATGGCAACATTTAAAGCATGTTTCTTCTGCTCTTCTGCTACCTCACTCAGTGTCCTTTCCAACCCCATAAGTGCAGGGCATTGCTTACGTTGAAGCCTTCCCAAATCCCATCCCCACTCCTTTGCTCTCTGAAAACAAATAGATGAATAAATAAAGTTAATGCAATATTAATCAATAGAATGTAAAGATATATATAATGTTATAAAGTTCTATAAATAAGCCCTTTTGTACCCTTGGCTTTTCTTTACATGAAAACAGCTGCTTCACCCAGCCAAACCAGCTCTTCTTCTTTGCCATTGGAAAATGGTGATCATACTAATTCTAGAGATTCATCAACATCACCTAGCTTTTATTGTACCCTATAAATAAATAAAAAAAACCTGAATAAATTTATACATGAATAATCACATCTTGTAAGACAAAATAAAATCACTCCTGTTTTATCTAATCACTAATCAAACAAAAGAAGCCCACCTCAGAATTAAGGATAAACAGTTAAAGGTTGTTAAACTCAGTGGAATATTTCCTCTCAGTTGATAATGATGAGACACATTTTCTGAAACAATCATTTACCAATCTCATAAAAACCCCATAAGTGCAGGGCATTGCTTACGTTGAAGCCTTCCCAAATCCCATCCCCACTCCTTTGCTCTCTGAAAACAAATAGATGAATAAATAAAGTTAATGCAATATTAATCAATAGAATGTAAAGATATATATAATGTTATAAAGTTCTATAAATAAGCCCTTTTGTACCCTTGGCTTTTCTTTACATGAAAACAGCTGCTTCACCCAGCCAAACCAGCTCTTCTTCTTTGCCATTGGAAAATGGTGATCATACTAATTCTAGAGATTCATCAACATCACCTAGCTTTTATTGTACCCTATAAATAAATAAAAAAAACCTGAATAAATTTATACATGAATAATCACATCTTGTAAGACAAAATAAAATCACTCCTGTTTTATCTAATCACTAATCAAACAAAAGAAGCCCACCTCAGAATTAAGGATAAACAGTTAAAGGTTGTTAAACTCAGTGGAATATTTCCTCTCAGTTGATAATGATGAGACACATTTTCTGAAACAATCATTTACCAATCTCATAAAAGGTAAAAAAAAAAAATATATATATATATATATATATGTACTAAAGAATTCCAAGAACAAAAACTTACCAAACTAGAGGAATTTCTTAAAGAACAAGAAATACTTGAAAAATGAAACTCAGACCGTACAGAAATTCAGAGAATCAAAACTTATCCACAGCATCAATTATTGAGAGAATTATGGATCAAACCTGTGAAAAAGTAGATAATAAATGAGAAAAACAAAACAAAAGAAGAAACCTTTATTAAACATCATTTAGTGGTACTTCAACTGAATTCCCATACGTTGTGAAAGGTCAATTTCTCTGGCTATAACCTCTTTGTTTTCAAAAATACCACTTAATTACACAATCAAAACAGAAGCAAAAAAACTCTGCAAAGAGAAAGTTGGTGAAAAACCATTACTTTGTTGTTCTAATGGCGGCAAGCAGCAGGCACTAAGTAATGAGTCATGACTTGTATTCTGTTTGTGATGACTTAAGAGGAAGACTGTCCCCCTTTGTGTCTCTTTCTCTCTCTTCCAACTGTCACTTCCATAACTGCCAATGACCAGTTAAAATGTCCGTTTTTAACCAATTTTACTCATATGCCCTCCTCAGAAATATTTCATCTTTTTGACAAGGTTTGGCGTGTGCAACACAAAGCAGAAGAATGAAAATGATTTGCCCCATGTGTCAATATTTCAATATTTTGAGAAGATGCTATTTTGGGTCCATTTTTGTTTCCCATCTTGAGCCAAGAAGTTTAATTAATCCCTATAATTATGACTTATGGGGAGTGCTTCAATTTGTTGTGTCTTCAAACTTTTATCACGTAATAATTTTCTCTGGCGCATATTTGGTAATTACGGTAAAGGATAGCATATTTTGTCATAATGTTTGTATATATTATGACTGCGGGTTTGTTACGTGGAAAAGCACACCCCTACATCTAAGTATTAGAAAAATAGACTGAAATAAAAATAGAGAAAACAAAGAATTAAGTAATTCAGGAAAATTTTCTACGTTCACGGAAGATGGAGAAAAACTCGCTAATAATTTTAGAATTACATACTCAACAAATTTTCTTACTTTCTCTCTCTACCTAAAACCGATTAGAACATCTCCACTACAATGTTATATTTGATGTGCCATTTGCAAATTTAACGTCTGAGTGTAAAAAACACTCTCTAATATAATGCTATTTATTGTGCCAAATTTTTCATATGTTATACTTTGTGGTAAATTTCTCACCAAGAATAGCATATAAGAAATTTAACATTTGATTGCTATTAGTTGAAATATTTACTTTTTCATATAACCAATGCAACTTTTGTATTTTTTAATTATTTTAAAGATAAAAGTTTACTTTTACAAGTTTCAAAGCTTAACAATTATGGCAAAAAATAGATTTAACATTTCAAATAACATTATGCATTGAAATAAAAATGAAAATAACATATTATATCACACTTTTTGATGATAAATATATAATTAGCATTATCATTTAAACTCTTAGCTATATCTCTCCTTACTTTTCTCTCTTTCTCTTAAAAAGAGTCACCTTTTTATGAGCATATAAAATCTTATACAAAACACTTATTTATAGACTTTTAATGAGCCATAAAATAATCCTTACCTAAAAATTAAAAAACAGTAACTTACCTAAAAAATAATTTGAGACACTTACCCAATAAGTTATAAGCACTAATTTCATTTCACTTCTAATATTAACGTGTTTAATTGGTTCAAATTCTCCCACAAAAATTCCAAAATATATACATAATGAATATAATATTAATGTCTACTAATCTCTTGATGCCAGAGCACACACGTTTTTGAAACATCAAATTAAAATCATACCGCATCCTAACAGTAAGCAAATGTAACTCAAAGCTAGTCTCAGATAATTGTGTTGCGTTAGTTAAAAGTTGGTGTCTAATAATTTTTTTGTTAAGTTATTGTGAATATCAAAAATAAAATTTAGGTGTTTGGTTTATGAAAATATATAACAACTAAAACAGTCATAATTTATTTTCATTTAATAAATATTGGGTGAAAGTTTTATAGTTTTAATTATTATATTTCTAATATTAAGGTCAGCATTCAAATTTTCTACCCCAAAATTCTAGAAATTATATTTAAGTTTTATTATCTTAAATATATTTAAAAAGAAACAAATTTACATTTTTTAAAGGAATAAATTTATACATAAAATACTTAATTATTGAAAATATTTGTGTAAAATTCGAAATATTGTGCTTAACTAAAAATAATAGTGATAATGAGAAAATTAATCAATAGAATTATAACTCTTTATAGAACTTTTTCGGTTACCTACCCTAAAATTCTTCTGATATATTTCAGGGTGGTTAGTAACAACATTAACATGTCAAATCAAAGTTAATTAACAAAAAACAAATCAAAGTTAATCAAACCTCGCCAACTTCATGAATTAATAGCGAGATTGGCAAATGTTACTTTTCTGCGTCATGTTTTGATTTGAAGTTTGATTGAAGAAGTTCGAAGGCATTATCCATGTCGTTGTTCACCAGAATTAAGACCCACAATTCCTCTTGTTTTTGACTTTTATTTTATTTTATCTCCCTCATGTTCTTGACTTCTTTAATTGTCGGTATTGAGTCATCTTTCATTTATTAGCATGTTGACATGATGCTACGAAAAAAAAAATCAGTACTTAAAAATTCCTAAATTAGTACTTTGGAAATCATAAAAAAGCCGTCTTATCCGTAAGATTAATTTTCTGACTGTTAAATTTGATTAAAATCAATCAAACTAAAATAATGTACAGAACAAACAATTTTTGATACAGATCGGAGGGTTGAAAAATAAAAAACTATGGATAGTTTTATTTTTTTAGTCTTATTGGAGATACTCCCTCATAAAATATGACTTTAATATCATTACACGATAACTTGATCGAACCAATATAAATTAATTATAATTGCACCCCTAGTCTAGCGGTTAAGTTTCACATGACTCCACTTTATAGTTCATAATATACATAATAATAATACAAAGTTCTTCACTTTTGAATTTGAAACTTTGAATTGGTGCTACGTACTTTTGTGGGAATTATATGAAATTCTAGAGGAAGCAGTTAATGAACAAACATGCTTGAAAAACTGAAAGTATAGTAGTTTCTTCCAGTAGATAGAAAGTCTACATAAGAAAGCTGCTAGAAAATATTTCTTTTTAGAAAATTCAAATTTAATTTGGACTTTTTGGTCTGAAAGACAATAAATATTCGCCTCGTTCATTTTACCGATTCGAGTTTTCTACAGTAAAAAGCTGTCAGAAAATGTCACATCTAACTTTTTCTGCTATAGTGAAAAACTCTCAGAAAATGTCACATCTCAATTCGAATTGAAAACTCAAATCCGTGAAGTGAACGAGGCCATTCTAAACTCTTTTCTCTTCTTCTATGGCTTTAAATTGAATATTTCTAATTCGGATATAATGTATAGTGGGGTGTATAATTTACATGTTAAGCCACAAAAAGACTGGTCCCCTTTTGCCCTGCTCATGAACCATGCATGTTAACAAGTTCCGAGTCCTGAAATGAGAACTTTAGACTTCATATTCTGGCCCAGCAAAAGTAAATCACAAAGTAGCTTTTGAGCTGTTTAATATCCATTGAACCAAAAAGCCTTATTTATTCATTTTTTTGATAGAGGAATCACAAGCTTTTGAATGCAAAGAATTCAGTGAAGCTTTTGCCTGGCAAAACTAAATTGGGCTGCCTTGAGTTGTCCCAATAAGAAGACCATAAAAGTGGCTTTTGAGCTGTTCACGGCCCTTTCTTTTTTCAGCACTATAACAAAAGTTGCTGATATTTACCTCTAACCAAATTTTGGATAATACTATGAATTTGATTATGTGCTTATGAAATAAGATTGTACGAGTCCAATAAAACCGGATATTAATAACCATGGGGTAATATATTACTATTTTGATCAATACTTTAAGATCTTAAACAACTTTGTAATAGAGATTACTGAATTCAAGTATTGATTTGTACATTCTAAAAATTGTCCTCTTGTTTCCAATCTCTTTTAATAATTTAATGCAAAATAATAATGATAATAATACTATTGTACGATAACATATATATTCAGAAAAGCTCTTTTTTTTTTTTTTTTTTTTTTTTTTTTTTTTTTTTTTTTTTTTTATGCTGAAATTTGTGCAATGAACAGACAAGTGGCCCTTTTCGTTTTATATTAGTTGATTATAGTAGAA